TATATATATTTCATTCATTAATATTTAGGTTAAATAGGTAAGTAATTGACCTAAAAGATAAAAACTCTTTTATAAATAACCATATTATTGTCATATCTGAAAATTAATAATTCCTTAATTATCAATTACCCATTATTTACATTTATAATTGTGTCATAAACATTGTCATAAATAGATTTGTTGTTTTAAAGCTTGTTCCTTCATTTTCTCTGATCGTTTTGTTTTAGATAAATATTGTCATAAATAGATTTGTTGTTTTAAAGCTTGCTCCTTCATTTTCCCTGATTGTTTTGTTTTAGATTCAGGGGTTACTTATGCTTGTTTTTTACACAGGTATTACATGTGTAATGGGGGATATTGGGCTTCTAGTGTACTCATCACCCAAATACTGAACATTGTCCTCAAAAGGTAATTTTTCAACCCTCATCCTCCTCCAACCTCTCCGCTTTTGCAGTCTCCACTGTCTATTATGTCCACCTGTGTCCATGTGTACCCGTGGCTTAGCTGTCACTCATAGGTGACAGCATGCCGTATTCCCTCTCCATTTTGTGTGTGTGATTTATTTCTGTTGAATAAAACAATTTGTTTGTATTTCAGATTCCCCTGCTGGTTTGATGATTAGAGAATAGTTGCACTTGTTTCCTTTATTCTCTGTTTTTCGTGTGAATTGGTCATTGGATGTAAAGGCCCTATTCAATTCAGGTTTTTTCGTTTTGGGGTTTTTGGTGTTGGGAAGACATTTTTCTTGCTTTCATTGTGTCAGATCCTATCATTTTTAGTGAAGTTTTTAAAAGCTAACTTTTCTTTTTTTCTCTTATCTCATCCTTGCCTTTGTTTTGCCCACACCTTCTATCTGCAAGTAACCCATATTAAAAATAGAGTTCATACCCTTTCATATTTTTCTCCATATTCACATAGGTATCTTTACACGTGCACACACAGAGTTTGCTTTCCAAAAATGAGGTCACAGAAAGCCTTCCAAGTCAAATAGTAGAGCTCGAGTTTGTTCTCTTTAGTGGCTGCAAAATAATATTCCACTGTGCATATGCACCACAATTTATTCAGTTATCTCACTACTAGTGGGCACTTGCTTTGCTCCCAGTTCTTTTTGCCCCTTCCTGTTCATATACATTTATATATATTTATATAGGATAGAATCCTAGGAGTAGGATTTTTGTCTCAAATAGTAGCTTTTTATTTTAACAGATATTTTTTCTGGACAGCTTTCAAAAAAGGCTGTAGCAATTTACATATCCATCAGCAAAGGATGAGATCACCCTTTCCCCCACAATCTTAAATAGTCTCAAGGAGCCAGCAAGGATCAGCAGTTCTTCAAGGAGAGGGGAAACTCTATGAGATTCCCTACTCAGCAATAAATGAGCTAACAGTGAATTATTCCTCAATAGAAAGGCCTCTTTCTGGCATCTTTGGATCTCTTTAGCCAAGTAGGCCTCACACAGAACCAAAGTCCAGAACACCCCAAAACGGGGTCTGAAGACAGTTGTCTCTAACTCACTCCTCCCCACCTCGTGAATCCCTGTGAGTTCTTTCCTACTGGATAGTACTTGCATATTACACAATCAGCTGCATCTAGCATCTGCTCTTAATTTCATTTGATATTTTAATCATCTCAGTTAAGATTCTGGGAAAAAGAAGTTGCCTGGGATTGAAAGAAACTAGGAAACTTAGCAAGATCATTCTTAAGCCAGGTAAAAAAATTTTTATTGCTCACATGTGCATATGTGATGGTCACACCAAAAGGAGCACCCACCACCCTCCCTCTGTGACAGACACATTTTCTTAGCCTCCACCTTTCCTTCTTTCAAGTCTCCCTGTTGTGGAAAATCCGGTGTTTCTGTTCATTTGTTACTTTCATTCTCAACCATCTTCTCTCTTACTCCATCTACCAGAACAATAACCCCCAATATAATACTTCTCACCTCACTTTTCAACGCAGGACCTCTTGTTGGGTAAGCTAAAAGGATATGTGTTCTGTAAATAAGGAAAGTCTTTGTTCAAAGAATCTATCAAATGTTCCCATGACTCCTTCCCTAACTATTTGTATATCTAAAGATCATATAGTAGAGAGAAACAAAAGATTAGCCCTGCTTCATCTTACAGCTGGGAGAGTCATGAAAGGCCAAATGGGTAACAAAGCTCCTAGTTTTGACCAAGCCTAGCTACAAAGAAGCTACTTAAATGTCAAAGGCATTGTTTGTATAAAAAGGGAACCAATGTACAGGTTCCCTTTATAGTAGAAATAAGAGAACTGCCTGTTGACAAAGGGAGGAGGAAGAAAATACAAAGTACACTTTTAAAACATGAAGGCTTCATAGCAGTTCATAGTCGTTCAGAGAAACATGTTCCACTGAGAGTGACCCAGGAGAGAGGATTACATTATTATGCCAGAAGGAAGAGGCCACTATGCATGCCCCATCACCAGCCTCACCCTCCTGGTCAGCCTTACAAGAGTGACACTAGATATACTCCAGGAGTTGGACCCACCACAGCCTGCACACTGGAGTAAGTGCTTTCCTCCAGTCAAAGCTTGTCTTAGAATTAACTGGGACTTAGACCATCCCCATAACGGTGCAGTTGCAGGAAGCCTAATGTATGTCACCTGAGACAGCCTTGGATCTGAGTTTCCTCCTTACGTTTTGGTATTTGGAAGCGGGTGGAGAAGACACTCTTGGGTAGAAGTATGGGAGGCATACAGATTTAGAAGAAAAAGGATGACTCTATCTTTAGTGTGTTGTCTATGGCAGTATCTAGCCTTCCCACTGTATACTTACATTCCACCTACAAACATTAAAATAAAATCCACAGTGCACTCCTTTGTTTTAAAGAGGAACTAAGAAAAAAACTCCAATTGTCAATTTGGTTCCAGATTTTTTTTTAATGTGATCTTTGATCTGAAGTCAATATAGGAAGAACTCTGAACAAAGTAGCACTTTCAAAGGTTGCATATTAAAGAGGCGAAATGAAAGACAACTTAGCACTTGAGATGTGAATTTGAATGTGTATATGGTTACAGTCTGGATAAGACACTGTTAACAAATGATTTCATTAACTCATCGCCTATGTGCGACCACTGGACAAGGGGAAGGGTGTTCCGGCTGTGGTGCCATATACTGAAACTGAACCCATGAATTGGGCCCACTGGTATTGAGGGACAAGCCAGATAAATGGCAAGAATTCTAATTTCCAGTATGCAAATCAGTCTAAACATTTGACTTTTTAAAAGTCTATTTGGAAAGGTTTTGAAACAGGGCTGCACTAGGCAAGATCATTAAGTAAGCAAAACTTTAACTATTGTTATAACCATTTCTTTGCCCAGGTGCATGAGGCTGTCTTCTTCTCTTAGTGACAATAACATGCTCACAGGAAGGGTTCAATATTAATTATTTACACCTTACTTCATGTGGATTTAAGTCCATGTATTACCCATGAAGTTTTATATTTAAGCCATACTTGTGAAACGTTGAAGAGGAAAAAGTATATTTAGCACATTTGGGACACCCTAAATGTGTACCTGAGTAAATTTCAGTTTTTTGAGTTATTTGTTTGTGTTTGTTTGTTTGTTTCTTTTTTGAGACGGAGTCTCGCTCTGTCCCCAGGCTGGAGTACAGTGGTGCGATCTCGGCTCACTGCAAGCTCCGCCTCCCGGGATCATGCCATTCTCCTGCCTCAGCCTCCTGAGTAGTTGAGACTACAGGCGCCCGCCACCGCGCCCAGCTAATTTTTTTGTATTTTTAGTAGAGACAGGGTTTCACCATGTTAGCCAGGATGGTCTCGATCTCCTGACCTTGTGATCCGCCCACCTCGGCCTCCCAAAGTGCTGGGATTACAGGCGTGAGCCACTGAGCCCGGCCTGTTTGTTTGTTTTGAGACAGAGTCTCACTTTATCACCCAGGCTGGAGTGCAGTGGTACAATCTCGGCTCACTGCAAACTTTGCCTCCCAGATTCAAGCAATTCTCCTGCCTTAGCTTCCAGAGTTGCTGGGATTACAGGTGCCTGCCACCACGCCCAGCTAATTTTTGTATTTTTAGTAGAGATGGGGTTTCACCATGTTGGCCATGCTGGTCTCGAACTTCTGACCTCATGTGATCCACCTGCCTTGGCCTCCCAAAGTGGGTTTGTTGTTCTTTTAAAGAAAAAAGATCCCTACTTATTTTAAAGGGTGATAGCAGTGTCCTGACTCTACCTAGACAGATATGTTCATTCATATGCTCATTCCAGCTGAACCACAATAACTGCAATTTTCAAAGAAGGAATACAGAGCCTGGGAAATTGGAAGAGTATGGCAACAAACTGGTGTACAAGGAAACTGAAAATGAAAAATCAGCAAAGTGGCATTTGTACCTGCCTGAGTGGCTACAGCAGTGAAGGTGAAAGGTGGAAGGCTAGATGGGGGATATTAGCACCATCTCTTCCCCTCCTCACCTGCAGCCTCAATACTTTCCATTGTGGTCCCAGGATACGCCAGGTCAACTGTCATCAACTCTGAAACAGGCAAACTCTGGGAGGGGAGGAGGCATCCTTTCCTATTCTCAATGGTCTCAGCTCCAGAGACCACTTTAGTAAGCTCTCCTTGTCATACCTTAAAACATACATTAAAACCCATAAGCAATTCCAAAACCTCATTTTATTATGTTGTTTTTATCTCCTTGCTCACCAATCTTAAAAAAATGTGGTAACACAAATCTCAGAGACTGATTTCTCCTACTTACTCTCTTAGGAGGGAAGGAGTGTTAAATAAGCAAAGGCATGCTAACAGGAAGGAAAAAAATGGAGATTTTGAATAATAATCATAATTTGAAAATTATTAAAACAATGCACCTGGCAGTTTACAAAATATTTCTTTGTTACATTATTTCTGCTGCTGAATTTGATCAAGAGATTGTACTCATCATAAAATGAATATTATTGATTATTTTAAAGTCTCTTCTAAAAGTGGCTAAATTTATACTGCTGATTCCTCTTGAAACGTGACCTACAGCTTCTTGGCTTTTATGAGCTATTCAAGAGAGCTTTAGTCATCACGTTGTGTCACAATGGGAGTGACTCACAGAGCAAGGAGAGAACCTGAGGATTCCTCACACATGTAGTACTCAGAGCTCTACAGAAACCCAGGCACCTCAACCTCAAGAGGATCAGCCTGGCCAGGGTGGCACAACTCTTCCTTCCCCGTGCACAGCAGGAAAGCTGCCGTCAGCTGAGCAAGTCCACCAACAGTTTCTGTGTCCCACTTCATCTTTAATAAGGTAACTGATGACAGTTTTGTCATTTATTCTTTTATTTATCACGTCAATCTAAACTTTCTTCGATTTTCCTCACTCTTGCAGAATGAATCAGTGGTCTTTCAAGCTGTGGTCAACTGTCGCTACTTCTTTTAATGTAACACATTAGAATGCAGTGATGGGAGCTGGGTCCATCTCACCATAGAAGTGACCTCAGTGTGACCTGGGATCTTGCCAAACTCCTCCAGGACTCTCTTTGAATGTCCTTTATGGACATTGGGACACTAGGGTGTCCCAATTCAATTCATATTTTGTTATTTTCTCTGGGCCTTCTTGACACTCTCTGTGAATATATGATTAATTGGAAACTGGAGGGGGAAGTCTCCAAAAAGCACCGGAATCTTAGATGAGTTTCTTATTGAAGCAACAGATTCACTGTCAACTGCAGGTCTGATCTGTTTGTCTGTCTGCTTTATCAATATTATCAGATGTGAGTTTGCATAAACTGAGGGAGAAAATGCCTTGTAGGTCATGAAAAGCAGGGAAATTCCCAACAGTTCATATTTGATCCCTGGATCCTGGGGTCGCAGCAATAAGCCTGCTTCAGATATTTGCTCCCCATTTTATGATGCGATGGTTTGGTTTTTCAAGTGATGATACAGCTCCTTTCTCAATGACTTGATGTTTAGGAGGTGTACTTCAATAATTACATTTTAAAATAAACAATCAAGTTAGAGTTGTACAAATGGCTCTGAAATGTCCCGCTACACTATTAGACCAAGGGCACAGATTGTACTTCTGTACTATTTATCCCAGTACCCTCGGCATATATTAACTGCTCTAAAAATGTCCTTGGCTACATGCTGCATCAAATGAAAGTTAAATGTTAGACCACATTTCTATTCTATTTTTAATATTCAAAGAGGGTGCTCAGATTTTAGAACAAATCTCAATGCTTAAGTACACACAAAAAAATCATTAACTCATACATTTCAAGGATAGGAAATGGGAACTGGTATTAAAACTCTTATAACAAATGTCACTGTCTTAAGGGACAGTGTTTAAAAACTCAGACCTTTCCTTCTGCTGAAAGATCACGGTGGCTGAAATGTGCTGAAGTTTTAAACACACTTTTGGAATCTACACAGATGTTCTATGCTCTAAGCTTTCCTTAAAGCCTTGTGACTACAAATGATAATTGTACACAACATATAATCTTTCCCAGCTAGCAATTTTTACACAGTGACCACAAATAAAGTAATCATAGCTTTAACAATAATTCTTAACCTGCTAATACTGTCAGGAAACATTGTCAAAATAATAAATCTAGGAGGGACTTGGGATAATTAATGAATAGTTATGGATGTGATGATGAATTATAATTTAAAAGTTTTGAAGGAAGGCAAAAGAAAATCAGAGATGCTTTTATCCTTAGAACTAAAAATGCAAAATGTAAATCCAGCAGATAATCCCTACATGAGGCAGTTGGTACACCTCTGCTAGGAGAGAGGGAAGCTACGTCCTGAGGAGGCTGTCTGGGTGAACCAGTAGTGGAAGTACCCAAAAACTCCAAGCCTCGTTGTCCCACTACCCAAAGCACAGTCTGACTGCCAAGGATTACCTACCATCCTCAGGGAAGCAGGAATCAAGGGCATTGTAACTAACCAGAGGAGGAGCTTCTTCATCCATTGAGTAAGGGAACTTACCCTCCCATGACAGTAAATACCAACTCAATTATATCATCAGCAGCATAATAATTATTATAATTATTATTTCAGTCAGACTCTCAAAAACGCATTTGTTGCTTAATGCAAGTACATTTAACGTAGGGTCCCTTAGCTCTATTAAAAAAATGTTTTTTCAGATTTCTGGGTGGACGATTTGAACACATTTTTCACAGAAATATAATTTTTTAGTTTATGTCAGTAGGTTCCAGTGTTCATTTTTTTAAGTATGGAAGAAATCTCTAAAAGCCACTTGAGTTTTTTAAAAAACAAAGCAAAACAAAAACCAGGTTTTTTTTTGTGTTTTTTTTTTTTTTTTACTTCAGTGAAAAAGAAAAAATGAAAAAGGAATGTTGTGTAAGTTAACCAGGTTTACAATATTCAAATATACAAGGGGCATGCATGTTCAGTGGCTTTCAGTATTTAGAAAGTCATGCAAGAGATCTCCAAAAAGAGAATACTTTAGAAAATCATTGCTCAACGCTTTCTATTTGATGTATTTTGGTAAACAACATAGTTGTTGATTCAACTTGGGCCACAATTGCAACACATTGGAAGTAAATAAAGATTCTACAAACTCCTGACAGTGTAGTTGACTAGCTTTAGTATCGCTTTCTAAAAGGAAACACTTCATGAAGTTATGCGGAAAAAAAATCAACTGGTCTGGGCGGAACTATCTAGAAAGAACTCTACATTGCTTACAAAAAGTATACTTTACAATAATATTGAGATATTTTCTGTTCTTTTATTTTTTAACTGTGTCATTTATTTTTAAGGAACAGAGGAAGGTGAATAAGAGAAGTGAAATTAATCCTATTTTTAACTTTTTTACTCGGAAAAGAAACTCAGGAAGAAAAAGTTAAGAAAAGCGGAAGTGATCAAGGAGAGCACTCAAGTTGCAATATTTTCCTTTGGCTGCTGACAGGCAGTTACTATAAAGCACTGAGCATGGGGTATGAAAGACAGAACTAGTTCTCCTTTCTTGGTTTCTTTTGAATCTTTGTGGTATGGTAGAGAACTTTTGATAAAGTGTTCTTGTGCCTGCTGTCGACTGATAATGTGTTCATCTCTTTGCAGTTCTGCCTTCTCTTTTCACACAGTTTAGAGTTCAGAGATTGAAGTTTTAGTTCTGGTCACTCTCTGGCAAGTGACCATAGTTATGACCTCTACTCTACACCAGAAATATCTTGACAATTACATGAGATAAATATTACATAAACACTTCCCAAAACTTTGTAATGTTATTGAAATTGGAAGTGTGAATATTATATATTATTATAATTTCTATTATCCTTTTGCTCCAGCGATTCAGAGGTCTCAAAGATTAATCCAATTATCACTAGAACTCTGGAGCTAGAGTGGAGACTTCTTTCTTTCCTTCCTCTTTTCCTTTTTTGCTGTACAACATTTACTAAATATCAACATAATGCCAAGTATCATGCAAGGAACTGCTAATGTAGAGAGGTGTATGCATAGCCCAGAGTTGAGTGGGAATACAGACTGAAGTGGTAGAACAGAATGGTCTGGGTATCAGTCCTGAAATCGCCACTACAACTGTAGCTGGAGTCAATTAAACAGAGTTTCTGGATGTGTTTCCTCCTCTATACAGTGGAGATAATTTTATTGTAAGGTGTAAATAAGATAAATATTTATAGATCCTAGAAAAGGGCCTACAACATGTTAGGCACTCAATGAACCATAGCATTATTATCATTCCTCCCTGACTTGGTCAACCAGGAACTTGAGAACCATAGATTTGCTAGGAGGATATTTTGAATTCTGTAGTGTCAGTTGGCCACCTACCAAATGGTACCCCCAGAGGAGCTGGGGGTCAACAGCATGGGGTAAACCTTGAGGGAGGGAACAGATGGGAGGTGATTAGATAAAGAGATTTGGGTGAAGACACAAAGCCAAACTATATCAGCCTCCTATCCTCCTGATGACAAAAAGACATTTTAAAATATTTATATAGAGAGAAATTAATGCTTGCAGCAGCAGGATATGAGTAATTTTTATAAGTAACCTAACTTTTCCACTGAGGCCATTAAAAAAAGAAACTCATCAATGTGACACTACCAAGGAGCCAATGACTAAGTTTCCAGAAAAGTAGTTCTAGGGCTATGATGTTCTGGACTCCCAAAACTAGGAAGTTCTAGAACAGTGGTTCTCAGCTGGGGGATATTTTGTCCCCAGGGGACATTTGTCATTATCTGGAGACATTTTTGGTTGTCACAACTTGGGGAGGGGTGCTACTGCTCACTAGAGAGTAGAGGCCAGGGATGCCACTAAACATGCTACAATGCATAGGACTAACCCCACAACAAATAATTACCTGGCCCAAAATATCAAAAGTACTCAGGTAGAGGAACCAATGCCTAAATATGAGCAATACCTAGAGCAGACTGCCTCATAAAGTGAAAGCGATTCATCCTGCCATGAAGATAACAAGGTTCTTACTGTAATGGCAGACATTAGGTCATTTTACTTCACCCAGTACTCTCCAAGGCAGATGTTGTATTTCTATTTTACAGGTAGGAAAATGGAGGCTAAGAAAAGTTAGTTTGTCCAAGGGCCCTCTGACGATAGTGAAACTGGGATGGAACCTCTGCCTGCTTGCTTCTGAGGTCTGGGCTCCTAACTACTGCCTCCTGCCTCGAGTCAAGAGATTTATACGCTATTAAGCAATGTGTTGTGCAATAAATTGGAAGACACAGCAGATAAGCAAACAACTCAAGCAACTAGGTCAGTTCCTGGAGTTTCTGAATTGTTGGGACCAACGGGCCATGCAGAGGTAACCACAGCTGGCATAGTGTGGTTGAGGTGGCCCTATTAGCCTTTTAGTTGCTGTTACTCATTTATTTCTCAGTGGTCAATGAACCAATTGCCTATCAATCAGCTTTGTGTATAGGTCACGTTCCCATGGCTCTGACCCAGGTTACTGCTCAGAGGTGACATCTTGGCTAAAATATTGCTAGAGGTCAAAGATATGTGTGTGTTTGTGGTAGATTTAGTCAAGTGGTCTAGAGGAATGTGAACCTTAGAGACTGAAGAAGAACCAGCATTTTTGGACAATAATACTTGGGGTAAGGAGAGTGTTAGCAAAACTCTAGGTTAGCATTGACAGTCCCTAGGATTCAGACTGTAGGCCTGAATGACCCTCAGTCCAGAGCTGTACCAATGAGGACAACACATTTTAATGTGAGTCCATTCTTAACAGCAAAAAAGTTCCTCTTTACTTGTCACCAGGGAAAAATGGGTTTGCATAGAGAAGGTGCAGATTGAGAGGGAAGCAGAATGGAT